GCCGTGTGGTGCAGCCCCCGACCCAGCGCCCCGGCTGGAGCGGGGCAAGCCCTAGACCCTGCTCCCCAGCGGGAGCTCACGGGCCGTAGGTTGCCCACCCCTGCTCTATATAGACCGTTATTGAGAAGTTCCTTAGGGCATGTGTATAATAAAAGATGTATGTCAACGTCAGGTAGACTTAGAGTTGCCGCATCCTCCCCAGGAGCACTTCCACCGACAGGAGAGGGGCAGTGTGGGGAGCTGAGAGCCAGGGCTCAGCTCTGCACAGTTCTCCGACACGGGCTCTCAGCTCCCCACTTCCAGCTGGAGACGGGGGCAGCTCCCTGAGCAGGGAGCGGGGCAGGCACAGCCCGTGGGAGCAAGGAGCTGGGGGCCGCTGGGCTAGAGCTCCCCGGCTGTCTCGTCAATGTCCTGGCCATGGAGCTATGACATTGACAAGACAGCCACCAGCTCACGTGAATAAGGCAGTGCAACTACATGGACATGAGCCCTGGGCCTTTAGTGGCGATGGGGTTATGTCAGGGCAGGAGGGCACTTACCTCGGCCGGACAAGGCTGTAATGTGTACACTGATGTAATTAGGTCGACGGAAGCTGCCTTACATCAACCGAACTCTGTAGTGCAGTAGACCAAGTCTTAATCTGAACGTCCCATATGTCCAGTTCCTTTTTGAAAAGGCTTTAATCATTTACTTCAACTTTACTGCTTAGAGAACATTCTTAAGCTTGGTAATTCTGAATGATAGTCAAAGCTCCCCTGCATCAGAGACCTGATTAGGTATTTGTCAATTAAAATGTCTAGGCACGTAGCAAGAGTAAGTCCTTACTCGATGGCAATTATGATGTGTATTTGAAAATGAAATTAGGGATTAACATTGACGTGGTCCAGCTGACATCTGCTAGAGAGAGTGTTCTAACACGAGCTCCAGTTTTTGCTAGTAATTCTTTAAGGTTTTGTTTTTACACTGCCTGCAGAGAAACCTCTGTGAAACTTGTAATGCCGTTTCGAGACCCTGGCAGAACTTGCCCAGCTGTAGGGATGGATCTGACTTCTCCCGAAACTGTCTTGCCATGCAAAACTCTCCAGAGCAGACCCCTCTATCCCCAGTGTTGTTTCCTGGCTGCCACTCCGCTCTGTTTCCTGGGGACTTCATAAAGCCTGTCAGGCCCTCCTCCCCGCACCACACTTTACACCAATACAACAGCTATATAGAAATAGATAACAGCAGCTGGCTTCTCAGCACTTTTGAAATATCTAACCAATTATTTAGACAGCTAACGATGGACTTGAGGCTGTTTTTAGCTACCTATTTTTTTTTTAGTTTGGCCTTGCAACTCTAATTTTTATTCTTTTTATTATTAATTTACATAATAGAATTGTCTCATATTTCTTAGGATTTCAAACTGATTTTCAAAATAACAATGTAAGTATATTGCTCCCTGACTGCAAATTAGACTACTGCCTGATATTGCAGAGCCGGCTATAATTCAGTGAAGTCAGATTGACCACTAAACATGTCATTTCTTAAAGGATCCTAGACTAATTTACATCTGAGCAGACATCAGAAATGAAAAGGTGACCTCCATTTGCTGTCTCAAAGAGGAGGTATACGCACACCTACTATTCAGAAGAGGCAGTCTCACCCTCTCTTTTTAAAAAACGTCTTAAAATTTTCACTCCCCCTTAAAATTGCTCAGTCAGCTCCATTTATTCCAACAGACTCCAAATATGTTCTCTCATTTTTTCCTCCTCAAGCACACCTCTATCGCAATCAAATGCTGTTACGTGTAGAGACAGCACTTCCAGTACCATAGAACCATTATACTACTGTGCCTGAGTACTGTTCTTGTGAAAGATTCCAACCAGGGGGAAGTGTGTTATCAGCTGGGACACACTGGCATGTTATTTTCTGCAGGTATGGATGGGGAAGAGACCATACTAAATGCATTCAGAATGTTTGATCCAGATGGTAAAGGACACATTCACAAAGACTAGTAAGTTTACTTCTGTGTTTATTATCAAGCCTATCAAGAATCACGATAGTCACATTATAGTAGGCAGTTGAGATCTAAGTACACCTCTACCCTGATATAACGCGACCTGCTATAACACGAATTCAGATATAACACAGTAAAGCAGTGCTCCGGGGGGGCGGCACTGTGCACTCCGGTGGATCAAAGTAAGTTCGATATAACGCGGTTTCACCTATAACGCAGTAAGATTTTTTGGCTCCCGAGGACAACGCTATATCAGGGTAGAGGTGTATTTTGGATTATATTGAGTATTAACTGATAATTTAACAGGTTTATTCCTTCCTTTTTTCAGCTCACTAGCTTTATAATTTTCAAATTACTACATATTGTTAAATTAATAAAGTGCACGAACAGAATGCAAGACGAGAGTAAATGACTGACATTGTAATAATGCCCAGGAAGATAATTACGGGTGCTTTTCCCCACTAAGCAAAGCAGATACCGTTGAAAAACCTTATATGTGTGTCAGAAAGTTGTGTTCCACACATTTGTACAAGTGGACAACACTGAATTAAACTGTTGTATATTGAATGACAATAAAACTATTAAAAGAGTTTTCCTGCAGGGATAAAGCATGGCAAGTGTACTTTCCATTCTCCTCTCTAGGGAGCATGCCAGAGACATTTTTTGTTTTTTAAATATTAGCCTGCATATTTAAGCTGTTTGCAGAAGAAGCATCTTGAACTTTTTTTTTACTGATAGTGGGCTTTGTGGTGTATAAACCTGAGACAAGTGAACTCCTCAGTCCCTCCCTCCCCTCCACACTGTATCACCCCCACGCCCCACCAGATCCAGATCCTCCTTTACATCCTTAATTCTGCGAAGGGCAGTAGCATGACTCATCTAGGGATGCTTTCCAGCCAGATGCACCAGTTCTCTTCTTGCTCCAACATACAGGTGATCCTGCCCTATCCCTGCTAGGGCTTGACTGCACACTGATTTGCACCAATTTAACTAGATCAGTATACCTAGTTAAACTGGTACAACCCCAATACAAATTGCTACAGCTGCAAGCTTACGTGTTTAGATCAGGATAGCGCGTGCCTGTAAATTTACCAATATTAACCAGGTTTAAACCAGTCTCAGAATAGCCACACAACGTTGTACTGTTTTAATTAAACTGCTATTAAATTGCTCCGTTAGTTAAAGCATTACAGCTTTGTATGTAGATTGGCCCTAACTCCAAACCTACAGAATGAGTAGAGAACAGCTGATGTGGAGTGTTAAGACTCATTCTGAGCAGGAAGTAGGGCAGGACTCTTGCCCAAAGGACACTCGCTGTCCTTCCCAACTGGTACCTCCAGAGCTAAAACCACAACTGAACATGTGCAGGTGGTATCCAGTTGGGAACTAGCCAGCTGTCTGAGGGGAAACAATTTAACAACACAGTAAATAGAATGGTAGTAGCGAGTTTTTTTTCTGCAACTTAAAATTTTTTCAAAGACAAGGTTGCAAAATAAAGTATTCTAGAATTATTTCATTGTGAGGAACTGTGACTGTGCTATCCTTACTCTGACTTAAAGAGGCATCTAACTAATCTTCTCTCTGCATCTGTTTTAACTAGCTTAAAACGCATGATGATGACACAGGCTGACAAATTCACTGCTGAAGAGGTTTGTATACTACTGTATCTGTCACTCAAGTGCATGTTGGTATATAAGAACAGTTGCTTCCTAGAAAGGCAGCAAGACTATTCTGTTATACAAGTTTAAAATAACCTCTTTTGGATAAGGGAAATGAGTGTTTTGAAATCCTTTTACTCAGTGGCTTTAGGAATTACCACTAACCCATTGTTACAACATTCACATTGCAGAGGCCTACTGAATTACTAACTAACAGAGCATCATCTGTTTCAAGCTGTTAAATGCTCTCTATTAATTTTTCAAAATAATTCAGAAATAAGAATGAGTAAGTGGCTGCAGATACTTGCTTCCATGCTGGAGTTTGAAGTTGAAGGTTGCTAAAACACTGCTTTGGAAAAACATAACGTTGTTCTTTTCTTTTAATGCTATACAGATAGACCAGATGTTCAAGAGTTCCCCTATTGATGCAGCAGGAAACTTGGATTACAAGTCTTTCTGCTACACTATCACACATGGAGAGGAAAAGGAAGAATAAAGAGCGCACACTTGTTAGTTGCACTAAATTCTCACATTGGGTTAATAAATAAAAAATGAACTAATTTTTTTACCCAGCTGAAGTGATAACTCAGTTATCCACTGCTCATGCAATTTAAAAATAGCTATGTCCTAATCTCCCCTGGTGAAAACTGCATCTTTTACCATGCTTTTGCATAGCAATAGTTTTGTTTTTGTGCTAACTCCATTCTCCTTAGCCCACTGCAGACATTTCATTTCAAAGTTATGCCAGACAAAATAAACAGAAAGATGTGCTAGCAGATTCTTAGAAACTGCAAACAACCTATGAACAGGTAGCTATTAATGGCATCTACCTCTTTGTACACCGTGATAGGTAATTATAAAAGTGGCCATCGTTGTGGGATCACAGTTGCATTACGCAGGAGCAGGAGAGAGAGAACATTTGCAGAGGTCAACCACACATTGCTATTGCTTGTTCCAGGCCGACTATTCTACTTTAGGGGCAAATGAGGTTCTCTGAAGCAGTCAGTATTGCCAGAGCCACAACTTTCATCTTCCCCAGAAATGAACACACAATCCTACTTGTAAACATTTTCACTTCCAAGAAATAACGACTTGTTTTTATATGGATTAAAAATGGATAACATTCTTTGGTACAATCTTTAATTCTGAGTTGTCCATTTTCATTAGAGCAAAAGCAACATTTATAAAAACAGTTAAGAGTTTCAAAAAGAAAGAGGTGTAATCCTTACTGATTTTGGGTAGACACCTGATGTAAAAAGGTGGAGTTTAAACTGTCCCATCTGCTTGACAGTCATGGAGTCCACAGTTCCTGTTCATTTGAAAATGCAGCTTGTTTCATCAGAACTTACAAAGAGATACGTCAGACCAATCTAAAGCCAACACTCTTCCCTCTTAAAGGAACTTTCAGGTCAAGTTTGTCCCCAAATGTAGTGGTTTGGAAAATTAAGTTGAACCATACCTGAATGGCTAATTTGAATTGTGAACTGGGTTACAAGTAGAAAAATGCTCTCTGTGGAAGGGACTCTTAAATCTTTGCTAGCCACCACTCTTCCAATATAATTGGGGTTCAAAACAAAGGTGGTATTTAATCAACATGATTATGTCCGGCAGTGAGTTAATCTAGTTTCATTCACTGCTCTTGTAGAGCAGGAACAAAAACGGTTTGTAGGACATGCCGCACTGGAGTGCGGCTGCTTATTTTTCATACTAATCTTCAGTCACAGCCAGAGGTAAGGGGTCTATTACAGGAGTGGTGGGGGTGAGGTTCTGAGGCCGCACTGTGCAGGAGGTCAGGCTAGATGATCATGATGTCCCTTCTGGCCTTAAAGTCTATGAACCTATGAGTCTAAACCATTTTATCTTTCAACTACTAAATCTAGCCTCACAAGAGAGTCAGGATTTCTTCAAATTTAGTGGGATTGATGTTAGCATCAAAGCTTTACTGAACACATATTTCCTGCATTAGACCAGGTTTGTATGCCCTGCTTCCTCATCTTCTTAGACCAAACTCTCCCTCTAATGCATAAGTAGACTTCTCACGTAAGTCCATGAGTTCACAAACATGTAGGAGTACATGGCTCTAATTTATTTAACATCATTGGTGACTAGAGACAGTTTGCTGAAGGGGGAAAAGAATGGTTAAAGGAATATAAAAAAAGCACCCTACAGATTCACCCTCTGGCCAAAACACATCAGTGTTCTAAGTAGATTATCCCATTACATGAATTAAGACTCCAGTCCAAAGATGCTAAAGTTAAAGATGGAACAATAATATTTTTCAAGAAAATAAAGACATATTCCCAATACAGTGTTTTAATTTTAATCATCAGGTTTTGATTTAATCTGAACAAAAATACATTAGATGCTTTGATTTTTAACTGATCTGAAATTATTACAAATACAAATATATCAATTGCATAGCAGCATTAAAACCAATGAGAACAAAAACAGAACCAAAACTGCTTTTATCAGATCTCACACTGAACAGCAATATGCAACATAATACACAACCCCACTGTAAGCTATTCACCATAAACCAGGTACAAAACCCCCCAAACAAACTGATATTCCCCAAGACACAACCCTTCAGAATAGGGTGCAGAATACCAACTGCTACATTTTGGTACTAAAGTGCACTGTACTAAAAGGAGAGGTGCTTTCAATGCAATGTGAACTGGGCTAACTTTTTAAAGTGGTTTTCAATAAGATTTATTCTACTTACTTGCTATAGTGTTTAAGAGTAAACATGATTCCTCACATAGTTTTAAATAGAGCAGAAGTATGAGGCACAGACATTTCACAATGCAAGCTAATGACTCTATCCAAGAGAAAAATATAGCCTGCAGACTTCTTCAGGGGAAAGGTGTACCTGCGGCACATGGCCCAAAGTAACAACTTCCTTCCACGCATAGAAGAGGGTGGGGGAACTAACAGAAAGGAGTTTCCTTCCACCTAGGCACTGTAACTCCTCCTGCTGGGTCAATTCTCCTTGTTCTCTCCTAGAGCTGTGCAGCCTATGGGAGTTATCCTATTAACCCCCTGGGCAGCCTCTAGATAGGGAAAGGGCCAACTCCCTCACATACCTACGAATTAGGTTAAGAACAGCAGCTGCATGCTCCCAGTGTCCCCTAAATCACATTTCCAGGTGCAGATTGTTGTTGGGGAGTTTCCCCTGGGGGCTAATAGGATAATGGAGAGAAGTGCAGAAACATCTTTCATCTCTGGCTGGCAGCTTTGTTTCAGAGCTGCAGACAAAACTACTTCAAGTCCCACAGCTCTTAACATTCTTCCCAGGAGGAGGTGAATATGGCTGGTTCACACCCTGAAATGATAACTGTTCACATGAATTCTGTCAGGTTAAGAAATATTTTTTAAAAAAACAACACCACGTGATTGACTTAATGGATTTGTGTTTGTGTTAGGGTCGTCTGGGAAATATTGTGTATGGGCCACACATTCCCTTCCAGCCTGCACATGCTCAGTAGAGCAACCCAAAAGACAAGCAACTTTTGAAGTGCAGCCACAGGATTGGTGACTTTGCGGAAGGGCCACAGGAGGAAAATAAAGGGACGCTGGCATTCTACATGGATAGGACAAAGGTTTTTTGAGGATTCCCCCACCTGGGTGCGGAGAGGGAGTCTCCTTCACAATTTCCAGCCCCCTCCCTCCGCCTTCAATAGCGGCACAATCCGCTTCCAACCATTCTGCTGGTGGTTGCCATGTTACTGACTTTCATAATGTATATCAGAGCAACAGGTTAATGCTGCTTATCTTCTGATGTGTTTCTAGTGCATTATCACTGCAGTAATGCTTCAAGCAGTATTTTTTCCTCGTGGGTAGTCCTTTAAGGAGGGAGATCCTGCTGTTCTTTGGCTCCTCCACTCACCCAAGTAACAGAAATACTTATATTTCTAAAGAAAGGGACATGAGATCCTTTAGCTAAACATTAAAGATGCCCCAGTTATGGCCAACGTAGACTTTCATATAGACCAGTCATCTACTATGTTAGAACAACACCAGTTAGAATTAGAAATAATGTTACAATTTCACATGTGCTGCATGGAAATCTATGAGAGCGTTTCAGCAGGAGACAAACATGTTTCCTCTTCATCTAACACTACGTTCTTCCGTCTGGAGAGAGACAACATTGACTTCATAATTGCCAAAGAAATCCTGACAAGGATGCGCAGGGCAAGGAAAGCAAAGGGGACTACAATCTGCATGATGTGAAAAATCGCTGTGCTGAACTTACTTAACAAGCAGGTTAGAAAGAAGGCCCCAAGGCTGACACAAGGGTAGAGAGCAAGCTTAGCAAACATAAAAGCATGTTCCTTGCCGCCATACCTCGCCAAAGGATGCAAGGTTTCCCTTTCGTGGAACAGAGCTGTGATCCATATAGCAAACTGAAAGATGCTGGCAAAGAAAGTGATTACACAGCTGACCTGAATAGCTTCTATTTCATTGTGAGACTTCTCTGCAAATTCACTGGTCAGCTGGTAAGCGAGAGGAAGCCCTCCAATGAAAGCCAATGAAAATGTGTTGAGCAGTCCCATAAATCGAGTTGTTTTTGTTATGTAAAGAAAGAGCGAGTGGTGGACAAACCAGAGAAGACCAGTTGTTACAAAGGAGGCAAAGTAGGCAAGGAAGTTTGGTCCATATTCACTTAAAGCTTCAATGAGGCGGTTATGGAATTTGTCTTTAACTTCTTTGGAATCAGGGACATTGTCCTCACTGTTGAGGAAAAAAAATTATTTTAGTTTGCATATTAGTGATATAATGGTGCAATCTGAGAGCAGTAAGCATGTAGTTCCACTGTGAAGAGTAACTACGAATAGCATCATAGGCTTCCCGCTTTATTGTGCTTCTGTGATCCCCCAGCTTACAAGTTAAAAAGCAATTCTTATAATTGACTGCTCTGCAAATTCATCCTAGGATCTGAAAGCTTCCTTGATCATGTAATGTCAGTACAAAGTTCTCCTGCAGAGCTTCGTTATCATTTCTGTTGATGATATAAGAACCAGAACAAAATTCAGCTTCTTAACTCTTTGCCTGACAGAGCCAGCATCTGACTTTCTAAATATGTGGCTAGATCGGCTTTTCCAAACATCTGAGAATGGTGTATGCGAAGCCTGGTATAATTGCGTTAAAGAGGGGTAGGGTTTATTGATTCACACATGGAGAGGGGAGAAGAGTTCTTTGTTAATAGTTTGGTTGTATGATTTGTTTACATTTGTTTGTAACTAGGATAAGAGGATTGGTGCAATTGTTTGTACAAGTCAAAATAAAATAAGTCCATTCTCTTTCAACACCTGACAACGTATGTACCCACATACAGCCCCATGAGGACTTGGAAGACCCCAGTTCAATTCCCGGCTTCGCCACAGACAACCTGCGTGACTCTGGGCAAATCATTAGCCTCTCTGTGCTTCAGTTCCCATCTGTACAATGGGGATAAGAGCCCTGTGCTACTTCACAGGGGGGCTGAGCGGATACATATATTCAAGACTGTGAAGCCTTTGAGATGCACTGATGAAAAGCGCTACGTAAGAGGTAGGTATTATTACCACCATTACATTTATATCAGACAATTCAGGGTGTGTCAATCAGCACAAAGTCTTACCATATATCCAAAATGAGCAGGGTTGCTACAATAGCATACACACCGTCACTGAAGGCCTCCACTCGTTCCTTACTCAAAGGTTCATTGAGGTAAAAAGTGAAGGCCTCTAAGCGATGAGACTCCTCATCCTCTTTTGGACCTGCCAACCATAAGTCATGAGTTTAGTTTATGTTCTGTATAAATCAAAACATTAAACAAGCATTACACTAGAATTTCACCAGTCTAGTCTGATGCTCCTGCTCTCTCAAATCTCAAACTTGTGGAAGTAACAAGGCACTGGTCAATCTGACAATTCAATCACGCTGCTTTCCACTGCAGCCATCCCTTTCCTGAGGCTTATGTTAAGAAGGCCTTCAGGGAAGGGGACTCGTCTTAGAAGCACCTCACACACTGTTGCTACCAGGTGAACAATGACTCAATGTTAGTGTTTTAGTTTAATATTTTGATAACTCACATGACAGAAACCCTGTTACAGCTCAGGAAGGTCTAATGGATCTTGGGGCTCTGGTCTGAGTAGAGGACT